TTGCATTCATGAGATAAAAAATCAGTTATATATCTATAATATATAATATACATTAATGTCAGCACAGTCTTGGTCTGAGACTTTTTGTGGTGCATCTGTAGTGTTTGCTTTCATAAGGCAACAAGAGGTTCCTTTCCATTGCAAGTATCTCCCAATAAATCCATAATTAAAAAGTAAATTTCACTTATATCTCTGTGTAAAGTGGATAAAAAGCAGCCTGTCTGTGACTGCATGTGTGTACTGTATGTATGTGTTGCATGGCTATGTGCTGCTCTTCTCCCAAGCACAGAGCTGGTGGGGGCCAATCTCATCTCTCTGTGTTTAATCAGCACACACCACAGCCTGCCATGAGAGCGAAACCAAGGACGTGACATGAATCCAGATTCCCTTTCTGCAACCTGCATTTACACAATATGAATTTACAGACAGTACTTGTTCTTACTTACTACTGTTTTTTGCGGGGTGTATACTGAATGTGTTAGTAAGGAGAAACTGGATAAATAAGAAGAAGATGAGATCCTTCCATCCTTCAAACCCTGTATTTAACCAAGAAAGAAGCCAATGACAGTGTTTACATAAAAAATACAGAGCCAGATGGCTGACATCACTCTTAAACAAACTGATAATTAACAGATGTGAGTTATTCACTGAGAACCATTCATTGCTTTTTATCCTCTTACAATGTCAAATACACCAAGAGGCCAAATATTAAAGTACATGCATGTTTATCATAATATAGAGCCTGAAATGGAACAAAGATTGATGCTGAAAACACGAGACACGTCAAAGAAATGTCCCAGAGACAGGCAGCGGTAATCGGCTCGTGCTGCTGTCAGGAAGGTCCTCTGAGACCAAACAGACAGAGTTTCTATTAACATAATGGCACTGAAGCATCACACACAGGCTGCAGAATAGATGCAGCCGTCTCTTGGCTGTACCCACTTCAATCTGTGCTAAAAGGGGCTTCAGTGACTCAATTTTTGTTTTACTTTTTATTTATGTTTTTGTTTTTTCGCTTTATCCCAGTTCAAACAATTGATTCTCATGTTGTTTAATTCATTGTTCAGACTCTATTGATATGCACAGCAGTTACAGTTTTGCTCTATGTGTCAGTTTTCTAATTGGTCCACTGCTGCTGGCTTTTAATGTCCTGCTAATTTATGCCACTAATGAAGCAGTTGGTACAAAGAGAAGATTCTCTGCCTGGAATTGAACAAATTAAGACCAAATGTGTCTGGGTCTAAATGATCTTAACGAGATGAAACTCTGAGGTGAATACACGTAATAACTATTAAGAGATCACATGAAAAAGCACAGAGTAAATGCCAAGAGCAGTGACTCTTCTGGAACATTGAACAGTTACATGCATGCACTTGACAGATTATGAAATGAACAACGCCCAAAGAATAGTCCTGTAATAAATTCTTGTTTGTAGCATTTGCAACGTTTTGTGTTGGGAAGTTGTTTTAGAGAAATGTTAAAATACACCAGCTTGGAAAACAAAGATTTTGGTACTGGCAGAACTTTTCTCATCTGTTATTATCCAAAAGGAAGACTTTTAGATTGTGCTGCATTTATGTTATTTAATTTTATTAAATCAATGTTTCTGAGACAAAAAGGGTGTTTGTACACTAGAACTAGGTGTATACCCCAAAATCAAAAAGTGCCTCACTCCATTTCTTGCACCCTGGTGATTCCAGAGCATCTTTGTGAGCTGGATAGATACGTCGACACGCTGGTAACCTTTATGGACATCTGAGTTGATGTTGGACGAATGTCATTAGCAATCACTGTATTGTTTTTCATGTCATTCATGCATTAATTAAACTGCAGTTTGCATGTAAGTGGTTTAATAACTTAGTTGTGATGCTTTACAGCACAGGCACAACTCTACTGCAGTCTTTGCATGTGATTTTTCCTGCCCTATATCCAAAATATTTCTCTCCCTCTTCTCTGGTTAGTGAAATGGACACATGGTTAGGGTTAAATCATTTACACACCAAGAGGGTCTCAAAGCTGAGAGTGAGAAACATTCTCAGTCTGATGGTGAGAGAGCTGGGCTGTACCCCAGCAACAGAAAGAAGAGACTTTTGGGACCTTATTCATACTCCTACACCTCCAGAGAGCGGTGGTGGGGGAGGTGGAGCTGGCATTAAAGAAAAGAGTGTCTGTGTGTGTGTGTGTGTCTGCGCATGTCTGTGTCAAAAACAAAAAGCAAACAAACGTCAGGTGGAGGGAGACATAAGCTCTGACGTCAGAAGAACAGCAGCGGAGGGCTATAAAAGAAACCTTACTCACAGTGATGTGTGTGTGCTGCTCTGTTTGTGTGTATGGCACTAGAAAATAAATCATTATCCATCATTACAAATATACACAGATCACAAAAACATCCTGTTTATGTCTATATCTCCAGAACTGCAGCTCTGTGAGGTGTTCCCGGTCTGCAGCAGTCCGTTTCTATTAGCAACAGGGTCACGGGTTGCCAACGGTCACTGAGCTACAGCTGCAATAAAAGTTCATGCTGGTTCTCATAAAAGCCAGAATACACAAAGCATCAGAGTTTGTTGTGTATGGAGCTGCAGACCAGTCAGGGTGCCCATGCTGACCCCGTCCACCACCGAAAGCGCCGACAATGGACACGTGAGCATCAGAACTGGACCACAGAGCAATGGAAGAAGGTATGTCAGTCTGACGAATGATGATTTCTTTACCGGGTGACTGTGCGTCACTTACCTGGGGAATGCCTGGGAACAGGACACACCATGGTGTACCTCCTACCTAAGCATTGTTGCAAATCATAAACATCCTTTCATGGAAACAGTACTCCCTGATGGTTGGTTGGCTGGATGGCTGTATCTATGAAGCGCCTTGAGGCGACTTATGTTGTGATTTGGCGCTATATAAATAAAATTGAATTGAATTGAATTGAATTGAATTGTGGCCTCTATCAACAGGATAATGTGCCACCAATCAGAAATGGTTCAGGAATGATTTGAGGAACACAACAACCAGTTTGAGTTGTTGACTTGGCCTCCAAATCCCCCAGATCTCCATCAAATGGGTATCTCTGGGATGTGATGAATAAAGTAGTCCAATCCATGGAGGCCTCACCTCACAGCTAACAGGACTATTGCTAACATCTTGGTGCAGATACCACAGCACACCTTCAGGGGTCTAGTCCACGCCTGGACAGTCAGGGGATCAACACAATATTAGGCAGGTGCTCATAATATCATGCCAGATTGGTGCATGCATGTGAATGTGTGAGTATAGTATGTGTTGTGAGCCACACACTCTAGTCACATGTACTTTTTCTTTAAAAAAATGTATTATCAGTGCACAAAGACACAAAGGCCAAACATTAAAACATTATTCATAATATATCATAATATCAGAAAAGATCACCATTAGAAAAGAGCCACAGCCAGTTCTGAAGTAAACAGTTTTTCATTATTGAACTCAGTTTACTTGTCATGACATGTACTGAAAACAGATTAGATACACTATATTAGAGCATGATGTCTTCTGTGGCTTCCCAAATTGGAAAAAGTAATTTTCACAATGCCATCAGAGCGGGCTGTTTCCCAGAGAAATGTTCTTCTATTTGTTGAGCTGGTCTTACTTCACTGTGATTGGCTGAACTATTTCAGAGTTCAGTTATTAGACCACATAAATGGGACTAGTGGAGAGTGTCTATTTATCTTTCAATATATTTCAGTTTTACTCTGAATCTTTTTGCAGTTTCTGCCAAATAAATGCCAAATCACTCGCCCACGCATCCTTTGAATCCATTGCTTTAAATTGTTCTCTATGCAAGATTTAAGACAGGCTTTTTAAACCCACTCACTATGCAATGAAAATGTATCAGTCAATATTGGAAAGTTATGCAGAGTTATGAAATCAGTGTTCAGAATATATATTTGAGGGTTTGTCAGACCCGACAACAGTAACAGTAATATCTGGTTGCATTATGTAAAATACTTTTTAGGGAGGTTAGGGAGAGACAAAAATCACAATTAAGTCAAAGCTGTAACTTTCCTTTATCTAAATTACACAAAGAAAGTGTCGGTGCAGTGTGAGCCAGCGTCTGTGTCCATATAGTGTGTGTGCATGTAGCCTCACCACTTTGGGGGGCATCCTGGTAGCCAGATCGTGGATGGCCTTTCCAAGAATACAAATAGAGGAGAGAACGAACACAACCCCAAGGACGACACATGCTCTGCAGACAAACAGGCAAAAGAAGAAGGTATGACGATTACTGATTTGTAATAACCCAAAGGAGCTTAAAGGGGAGCAGCAATGCTTTCCTAAGGTCTTATTTTTACATCCATCATGATTGCTGCTTTTGCATTTCACAACAAAAACATCTTTCACATAATAGTTTCAGTGTTTGACAGACATTTGACAACATCTTTACATTCTTTTATTTTTAGTGATATTTGTTAAAAACATGGCAAATAATCAAAAAGTTCCAGCTACTGGAACCTGCACGGGTAAAGTATGAATGCATGAAAAATGTCAACGAGCAAACAAATAATGGATGTGCAGAGATGTTGCATAGACACTTTAACATGTCTTGATCACACAGGGCTAATTAGGGGAAGTAAACAGCTGGGAAAACACAGATGCATACAGTTAAGGTAATGAGATAGAGGAAGTAAAGGAGCAACTATTACAGAAATACAGCCGGAAATAAAAATAAATCCCAAATCGAACTTAACATACGGGAATTGACACAGGAAGTGGAAAGAAAACGTGGAGGTAAATAAATATATAATAATACAAACAAGCAGAAGGACTCAAAATATATAACAATATGCACTAGGATGAAAACTGAGCCAATAAACAAACTAAAAAAAACAAATAAAGAATACTAAATAAACAAAACCCAGCACCCAAGGGCCAAGACTGGGAACCATGAGGACATTATTTTGGTCACTACTCAGAGCTCATGGCCATTGGAACATAGACTGACTGATGGCTTTGCTTTCACACTCATCTCTCTTCACCCCATCAGATCAACGTAGTATCCTCATTACTGAAAACACTGCACCGGTCCATCACTTGTTCCACTCTCACTTCTTTCATGAACAAGACCCTGAGCAGTAGCGGTTTTTGGCGACACGGGCGTTTGCCCGGGCGGCATCACGGGCAAAAAAAAAAAAAAAAAAAAAGATTGCTCGTACTCATGCTGCCCCGACATCAGCCAGCGCATATTGGGAATGCCAGAGGCACCGATCGGCTTTCTATCGCCCATTTGCTGGGAGTAAGGGCGCCCTCCGTGTGCGAGGTGCGCCTGCTGCTTGTGGCACAGGGAGGAGAGGGCGGGGCGGCATCTAATAACCAACTCGCAAAATTAAACAAATTTAAAAACAAAATAAAAACAAGCCAACAAACACAAAACACCAGACATCATGATACAGACTTATAATTTGCACAGATGTTTTTTTCGAAATTCTATACGCGAAAAGTGAGCGCGAGAGCCCTCGGTGCGCCTGCTCGCAGCTGAAGTCAAAGTAAACTTTATTGTCATCTCCGCTACATACAGTGCAGTATATAGAGAGATGAGACGATGAGGCTGCAGTTACAGCAGTAAACAAACAATATATATTATAAGAAGAGTAAGAAAATAAATATACACTTTAGGACTCGGGTAAAGGGATCAACAACAATTTCAAATTTCTAATTTACAGTTTGATGATTTAAAGTCTCACACACAACCTGTCGGCTGCTTCCAAATAGAGCACATTTCATTCATAATGTTGTAAATCCAAGCCCATCATGTATTCATGATTTGAATCCTGGGTTGTGTGAAATCTCAGAAATACCTTAGACAAAGTGAATCTGTGAACTAAGGTGTAGGTGTGTTAGAATGTTGTGGCGATCCTCGGGTTGAGGGATTTGTGTTCATACTGGAGTGCAAAATTAAAACCAGTGGAAGATGGACAAGAAAAGTTCAAAGCCATCAGGTGCTCAGTTTAGAAAAACTAGAAAAGAAGAGGAGAGAACGATACAGGTAAGCAGATGTGTGATTGGATAATGGCAGGTCATCCTGAAACAATCAGAATCAGAATACTTTATTAATCCCTAAGGAAATGATGTGTTACAGTTGCTCCAAGAAGAAATGGTAAAAATAGCAACAGTAACAAACTAAACTCCAAACAATACATTATGTTACAGATTTTACACATTTAAGAAATAGCACTAATCAGATCAGTCAATTATAAATATCAAGGATTAACAGGGGATTTAAATAAATATCAAGAAAATTGACAAGAATATTACATCAGAGTAGAAAAGAGTGTGTGTAAAAAGGGTGTAACTATTGCAGGGGTGCCAGAGGGAGTGCCCAGGGCGCCAAACAGGCTAGGACCGCCACTGACCCTGAGAAACCAGGGCAGCAAGTTGTCCCTATGTTGAATCATATTGGGAGGTGCCTGATGAAGAACCACAAAAATCTGAGAGGTGATCCTGAGGTCACTAAACCTGTCTAGAAGCTAGTCCATAAAGGTGGGATTAGAATGATGACCTCAGTGGCACTATCAGTAGTAGTAAGCCTATCCTTGCATCTTTTACATGAACCAATCTCCAGGAAGTAAAACATCTTGCCTCATTTGCAATGATATGCTCACACTTTTTTCTACTTTTCTAACATTACACTTTAATTTTCTACAGAAAGAACATTAATATAATATAAATTGGGTGTTTTGTGGTTTGTGTGTGTCTCTGCATCCAGCTGACAGCACTAACAGAGAAAAAGATCCCACGTGTGCATGTGAGTGACTCCGTGTGAGTTAATGGACAGTGGAGAGGCAGCTCGGTCTTTCATTATCTGTAACACCTCTGAGCTACACAGAGGTGTTCTTGCAAGACAAACAGGGCTCCATACAGCCTGACAGCTAATTGATTCATTCAGCTAAGCCACAGCAGCCCTAAAACCTGGTGGATTAACGCACGTGTAGCAGTGACACATTTACAGTAACGACACACAGTTAATGGCTCATCAATAAGGATTCACTTCTCTCCATCCTGCAATTTAAGAAGCACCTTTTCTGAAATTGTTTAATCTGGGTATACTGAACATAAGCAAGAGCCTAACGGGGAAAATTATTTAGACCTTCAAAGGGAAGATTAAATTAAAGCTATCGTGGCAATATTCTCTCTACTGGAACTACGGATTTTAAAATTGTCAAGTATAAAAAAACATTTAAAAAATCCACATAAAATCAAAAACAGACTGCAACAATTTGCAAATCTCATAAACCCAAATAAAACATAGAAAACATAGCAAATAAGACACTCATTTTGAACTTGATGGAGCAACAAGCGTCCCTTCTTCTTTGAAGAACTGTGTAAACGTCTGCGAACTGAGATTCAAGCTGCTCAGCAGTCCTGAGTCTTCTTTGTCATATTTTTCTGTGTCATGATGCTCCAGATGTTCTCAGCTGGTCCAGGTCCAGACTGCAGGCAGGCGGGTTCAGGACCCGGACACCCGAACAGTTTAGTATTGTCTTGCTGAAATATGGTCTCATCTGGAAAAATGTCATCTTCATGGAGGACATGTTCCTCTAAAACAGGGCTGGGGGAACTCCAGGGCTCAAGGGCCGGTGTCCTGCAGATGTGCAAAACGCACATCTGCCTTTCCAGGTGTGCAAGCATGCATGCTTTCCAAAAATAATTTCCACTTTGGATTTGTTTGGACCTCAGAACACTTTTCCATTTTGATTGAGTTCACTTTAAATGAACTTTGGTCCAGAGAAGACAGCTGCCTTTCCAAATCCTGTTCATGTGTGGCTCCTTCTCTCCATGTTGGAGCTTTAACCTGCATTTGTGGATGGCACAGTGTGCTCCTGAGTCCATGCGGTGATTTCTATTGAAGAACAACGCCTGATGTTATTGCAGTGCTGCCCAAGGGCCCAAAGATCAGAGAAAATATTGATTTTCAGCCTTGTCCCATTCACACAGATATTTATTCTAATATTCAGAATCTTGTGATGATTATGTACTGCAGATGATATTTATAGTCTTCATAATTTTCTGTTGAGGAACCTTATTGTTCTACTATTTGTACATGTAGTTTATTTGCAGTTTAATGAACCTCTGCCCATCTTTACCTCTCATAACCTCTGCCTCTCTAAGATGTTCTTTTTATATCATGTTACTGACCGGCTGCCAATTAACCTCATTAGTTCGTCCATCTGTTTCTTTATAGCACAACTTACTTTTCCTGCCTTTTCTTCCCCAGTCCCAACTTTGTTTGAGTTGCTGGCATCAAATTCAAAATGAGCTAATAAACATATTTTTTATGAAATAGTAAAATTTCTCACTTTAAACATTTGATATGTTTTCTATGTTTTATTGTAAATAGAATATGAAATCACTGCACTCTATTTTTATTTATATATTACATAGGATCCGATCATTTTTTAAAATGTAATTTACTACAGAAAGATAAAATCATATGCATGAAATGACTGGATTGCAGGGGAATGGGTGAAGTCCTTTCACAGCAGAGGTGGGATTCATGGGTAAAGAAGCCAAAGAGTAAAGATGAAATGAACAAATAAATAAAACATACAACACCTGTGGTTTGAGAGTTGTTTATGATTCCACCCTTGTATCGTTGATCAAAAGATAAAGTTTTGTACTCACATATACTCTCTGTGTGCAGAGTGCACAGCTGCTGCATTGCTGTAGCGCCACAGGACGATGGCTGATGACATGACATCCAGCGTGGCATCAAACTACAGAAACGAGAAGCAAGTAATTAGAGAGAAAGAAGTGAGGAAGGTCAAAATTATCCATTGGACCTATACCACGACTCTTTAAATGATCAGATGTCCAGTAAGACGTGTAGACAGCTTTAAATAACTTATTTGTGCTGAAAATAAAACCACTTCATTCTGAAATCCCGTGGAGGAGAATAACGCATTTATTTCAGCACAACAGAATTTCAGCGGGCACATGAACTGACTCAGGTTATGTATGAATAGGGATGAGTGGATGTAAGGATTTAAGAGTCTCATTAAGGCTTATAGTGGAAAAACTGCAGGAACCACTTTCAAGTCTGTGCACCACAAAGAGCGAAGTGTTGATGTTTGGCAGGAAAATCAAAGCCATAAACATCATTAACGCGACAACAGTAGCTTCATGTTGGATTCAGGACTTCTCAGGGAAAAACTTCTCTCCCTGAAGCCGGATCACAAAATAAAATCGTTATTAGTTCATTTTCAAATCATAAAATGTAAAAGTAAGAAAAAGGATGACTCAAAGTCTCACAGAGCTATCGATGATAAGCTGCTATGATCTAACCTCTTTGCATTGGGCACATCCTCTTATTTTCTTCCTGCTTCTGTTTTAAAACTGTCATCTGCAGCAAGCAATTAAACTGCTAATTAAAATCCAATCTTTAAGGAAGAGATAGCTAGCTCTGCAGATTATGGTTTATAATATTTTAATCACATTAGGCTAATCACATCTCCTCCCTGGGCCCGGGTGTGGATATTGTAATTTCACCTTCACTGCCATTACGTCATATTTTTATGATATTCTCAGTGATTTCCTCCTAATAAGATTTCCGCTGTGTTCTAGTGGAGATCTGTTTAGCAAACACAAGAAGCATTTTGACATCCAACCACAGCGCCAGCCTCCAGTCCCTTCTCTGCCCTGTTACCTTGGAGACAAAAGGACCAATAGGACTTTGGTACTGGGATTCATTAATAAATCACTAGCACCCAAGTTATGACTTATTGATCAATGCAAATAGAGAGAAGAAAGGGGCGGGAACTTACGGCGAATCCAAATGCTGACGCGCTGTGTCTCATAAACGATACAGCTGTGGAGAGAGAGACGGACTGTTTACATCATACAAGTCTTTATCCCTTTTTAGTCACTAACATATATGCACATGTGATTCAGCACATGTCACATGCACGATCAGTAGGTTTGTGACGCTAAGTGGGAAACAATGTGTTTATTAAATCAGCATAACAAAATGAAAAGCGACTGTGATTAGATGAGTTATTTCTTAAAAATCAACACTGATATTCATAAATGTTCTTCCTTTCTATTGAAATCACCAGCACCTCTCACATGCATACACTATATCACTATATCTAGAAACAGGAAATTAAAACCACTGGGTTAACCTGAGCTGGAGTTCAATCAATAAAGAGTTGAAATCTAAATCTTTGTTTATTGTATTCCGTCTTTTTGGCAAATGATTAAGCAGAAAATGCAAGTGCAAAAAAGAACAATTACATTTTTATTTATGATACCACTTATGACATGTGAGCAAATTAAAGGAGTTCTTGGCAGGTTGAACCTTCATCTGATCCAGATTTTTACAGCACTGTCCTTTATAGTCTATAATCCTACTCAGTATCATCCAAAGCAGAACAACAAGCATTAAAAACTAATAGAAAAACACACAGCTCATGTATGTCCATCTGATGATGCTCCAGGCCATCCGAGTTTGATACGTGTAAACTTGGCATGATTAACTGTCTATTAACAACATTAATGAGCTAACGCAACATGAAGTATCCCTCGAATAGGATTAAAGGTTTTGTCATCCTTTATCTACCACACCTGTGCTGTTCATCTACCTGTCCTGGTGTGCTGTCCCTCTTTCTGTGTGAGTGTGTGTGTGTGTGTAGTGCATGTGTGTGTGAGAGGAGGGAGACTCTCAGGGACAGCACATGGTCAGTTTAATCACCATGGCAACAGGAGATTTGAGGGCAAGATGGCCGTTGGTTTGAACTCAAAGCTTTCATCTCCTCTTCGCCAAGTCTTTCCCTTGGCTGGTATCTCCTTTCTTTTCCTTCCTTCTGGTTTTCTTGTCATGTTCCCTGTTATATATATATATATATATATATATATATTATATATATATATATATATATATATTGTAGCGGAAGCCTTTTGGCCATTTCTGAGACTTTGATGCTTCACAGTGTCAGTAGGATGTGACCTTATTTGACAAGCTTTAATGACTACAACTGTGTTACAAACTTTTTCAATTCTTTTGATGCCCCAGTATGAGGATAGGATCAGGCTTAGCTGTGCTACAGCTATGCCAACACTGTGGAGAAGAAAGGATGGAAAAGCTGAACAGGAGACCGAAGATAACACGTGGTTGCTCACACATATGCTGTCTTTGTGTCTGGTTTGTCCCAGATAGCATCACCCAGATTCTCCTCTTCATATGAGTCCACGCTTCACCATCTTTCACGATTATCTGTGCCTCACGTACAAACTGTTTCACATACAAAGTTTATGAATCTCTGGGCTCAACCAGCCTCCGACCCATCTGTTGAGTCAAGAGAAAAAGTCGAACTGAGAATGTTTGAGAAAGCTAACACAGGGAAGTCGGACAGGTGGTGACTCCTCAGTCTGTATATACAGTCTGTCTACTATGTATATATACAATACATTATCCCTGGTCCAACATCAAGCTCATAGTTTTCTTTATTGAAAGGAGTTCCAGTAGACTGGACATTTCGTCTGAGTTTGAGGTACTGCATTGGGTTCATTTGGTGACTACACTGTCTCTGTGCATTTCATAGACAGAAATGATGCATATCATATTGCATGTGATTGTGCGTCATCATGTTTTGCTGTTAGGCATGTAGGAAAGTGCAGGTCGGACACAGCTGGATGGGATGGTATCGAGCGTGTTATGTGTGTAATGATTAGGTCTATGTATCAGTTTAAACTTTAGTTTTGTTAAGCAGTTATATTTGTGACTTGGTGTGACGACTTCACTACCCTTGTGTCAAAACAACAATCAGTGAGGTACACTGTAAAAAAAGTCAGTAAAATATACAGCAAAACACCGTCAAATTCCAACGGTAATGGGAGCGTAAAATCAAAAACTTCCTTTACTGTATTAAATAGATTGAATAACCGTAATTGTGAGACTGGATAAAACTTTGTTTTTTACTGTAATAAAATGTTAAATTATAAATATTTTCTGTGAAAACAAATAAATATGCATACATTTTACAATTACATATTGTAATGTGAAAATGTCTGAAAACTTAGATTTTACGGTATTATTTGAGTAAAACTACATCTTTGGGTTGTGCACATTGGAATTCACAGTATAAGCTGTAGATTTTTAAGCAAACAAAACATTCATTTTTACAGAAACAAGATGTTAAAAATAGGGTCCACCGTAATAATACAACCAGTACATACCATTAAAAAAAAGCAAATATCAGCAGTGAAACAATAAAACTGATAGTATTTTTTTTTTTTAAAATTCAGATACTGATATACAGATTAAAAGTAGGCCTGCAGTATATCATTGTAACCTTCTGATAAAAAATCAACAGCAAAGAATGTTAAAAATAAGTTATGGTTGTGAATAAAATTGATTTCAATAATCTTTTTTAATTATTATTTTAAAACAACTTTATGTTGTTGTGTTTCACGCCATATTATCAGACCACCTTAAGTGGGTCGGCCTTAAATTTTGAATTTGTGTGATCGCTGTTGATGGTAGCTAAACTGCTGGTAAACTGTGTACAGACGTTTTACGTTCGAATTGCAGAGAAAAAAAATCTGGTAGCAACATTGTGCAGTATGAGCGAACCATTCACCAAAAAAAGGGGAAGCAAGGTAAGACGTGGCTGCAGCGGTCTGCAGACGTTGACTTCTGATCAAATTCGAAACCTCTAAAGAAACAAAGAGCGACGTTACATTGCGGGATGACGTCACCTGAAAATGACCAAATACGCGCGCGCTGCTGAGCTGTGTGCCAACCGCTCTTTTTTCATGCAGGAGACTCAAGTTGCTTCGCTAACGGACACAGTTTTGAACTCGATATTAGCCCATTTATTGCTGCTTGGACCACAGCATCTTCGGATTTGTAGACATCCTGGCAGCTTACAATTAGTCGAGGTGAGGTGAGTACATGCAACTTCAAGTTATCTCTGTTATAAAATCCACCAGCCAGCGTTTATAGATAATTTTAGCAGTTCGTTTTTATGAGTGAGGTTGTGAATTAGTTAGCATTTGTGAGTTGAGTTAGCATTACTGTTGCGAGGGAAGCATTGCTCTGGATTAGTTTCTGTATATGGCGTGCTTAATCGCTAGGGAGAATTACCAAAGTACATGGGATTATGTTAACGTGTTAATTTCTGTGGTAAGGTAGTTCAGTCATCAAGGGCTAGTGCTTCATTGTAACTGCATCGGAATGAGCCACGTTGTTTCTTTCGGTGTATTGAAGCAGGCTCAAGCAACATACACCAGGTATGGCGGTTTTAAGGCTATTTTTACGAAGACACTGCCCCCACCATGTCACTGGTGTGGTGGTGGTTTCTTCGTTTACATGTGCAATGGCGATGTGTGAACGTCAGTGTCAGAACTCTAAAGAGTTAATAGCTCATCTGAAGGACCATATTGTGGAAGGACACGTGGTCACTTGTCCAGTAAGAGGATGCACAAATACCTTTAGAGTTAAATCATCTTTTACTGCTCACATGTCACGTAAACACAGAGTTTTCAGACAGCAGCATTGGTGATTATATAGACAGTCTGCATGTCAATCATCATCTGTTCCAACCACATCAGATGACTTTGTACCCTTGATTTCCGAGCCTGCTGCACAGTCTATTGCACATGAAGATAACATGGAAATGCCCCCTGAATTCTGTGATCTTTTTCTGAGAAACGTTTCACTATTCTACTTAAATTGCAGGGTCAGTTTCTACTGCCTGCTTCAACCATACAGAACATTGTAGAGGAAATGCAGAACATGCATGAGTTGGGACAGACATACAGTTTGGGTAAACTTGCATCACTGTTAAAAGATGACACATCATTATCAGAGGAGGACATCAACAAAGTCTGTGAGCTGTCAAAAGCTATGATCTTTTTTCTGCATGTCATACCGGCCATTGAGGACAGTGCACTCCAGAGCTCAATCTTTAAAAAGCCTCAACTATGCGGAACCAAAGAAAATATTTTTAGGGAGAGATGAAAACAGAAAAGATAGGTTTGGCCTATTATGTGCCTTTAGAGAGACTTGTAGATGTCGCTAGAGTCTGATCTGTGGCAGAATCAGAAAGCCCTCTACTGAGCCTCCTGCTGATGTTCTGTGTGACATAAGTATAGTAAGCTGTTTTAAATAAAATTGATTTTTTTGGTCAAAAACCCATTGACTTAATTGATTTCTATCCATTACTCTTACATGAAGTATGGGTACCAAATGGTTCCACTGAAACACAGTGTGCTGTCACAATAATGGTGCTGTTAGTTTGGTACTTACGAAACACTGTATAAAAGTGTAGTATCAAGCAAGATCAGCTTCATATTTAAGACCAAAGGTACCACTTGGTGTAAATTGACCTTTATTCACATTCTTTTATCAGACATCTTGGAAATGGGGGCAGCATAAGGAGTTCCATTACTAAGGCCTGCCGACCTGTCTGCCTCAATCCTTGAAATTGTACTGGAGGCACTACAATCATTAGGAGTGGAGACATCTGAGAAACAAACCAGTAAAGTATTATGATTTCATTGCACAATAGCCATGAAGGGCTTTCTGTTTTTTCTATTATGCTTTGGCCAAGGTCCAAAAAGTACAATTAATCTATGTTTGTGATATTGTTTTACCAGCACCAAATATGGAAATTTCAAGCCAGGCCAGCATATCGTCTCCATCTGTTTTAAGGTTTAAGGGTGGTGGCACAGCTAAGACCCAAGAGTCTCTTTCAAGGTTAGTAAAGTAAACAGATTCAAGAAGATATTTTACACATTTCTTTGTCGTCTGTCTCTAAATCTTATTTTGTCTTTATTATGATTAAAAAGGTTTGTTTTGTTCCTGCCCTTTTCAGACACTGAATTTGAGCAGAAACCATAAGGATACTCAAAGGACCTGTGACTCTCAGGAAATGGTGAGATTTCAGGTCATAATCTTTTTTTTTCCATTAAATTAATTTTCCTTTTTCCCTTTACAATATTGCTGTTTTGTTTTTGTAAACAGCATCAAATGAGAGAGACAGATGAAACAGTTTCAAGACAATGGCAGGAAAAAAATGCTGAAGATTGAAACAAACCTTGGCTGGAAATATTTGGTATGTGTTTTACCGTAAATCAAATTGTTGAAAAACATTCAGCTACACTGTAACACAGGGAAACTTGATTTGCACTTATTTTGTTACTTTAATTTCTTGTCTCATTATTTTTGTCAGTTATTATTGTTTATGGTGTATGCCCTTCTTGTTTTCCTTCTGAATGCAGAAGGTATCTAGCCAGTCCACAATGAAAGCTTCGTTGCACCCATGAGTCTTCTGGCAGAAATGATGGCGGCTGTATTCTTTGGTTTCCCTAAACATCACACCCTGCCTGTTTATACGAGGCTCTTCAATTAAGTCTGCACCCAAAGATTCAATAAGAGGTAAGCAGTGGTATTATTCAAGTTTTGCTAAAGAAAGATGGACAGGAGACACTAATCTTAATCAGCCGAGCTCAGGTTCATGTCCAGGTGAGCAGTTTCATACGCTATAAAATGTAGATTGAATGATAGGTCTCATCACCATGCATTCAGCCATTAACTTCAAGTTCTATGATAAATCAATACGAAACTTAAATACGTTTTCCAACAAATTATGATTGTGATTAGGGCTGCGTTGTCTATGTATAACTTTTACATAAGTAGATTAAAGGATAACTATTGCCAAAACGCAACCTGGGCTGTTTTTTTTTTTTTTTTTTTACTGTATCGATTTTGATGCGCTCAAATTTATGCCCCGGCCCCTAGTATTCCCATTCACTGGCTATTGACCACAAAACAAAATCACGGTCAATCTCAAAAACGGCTCGTTTGTCGTAATTATGCTTTTAGATATATGTTTGTCTTGTTTACAGTAAAAAAAACAAAACAAAAAAAAAACAGCCCATGTTGCATTTTGACAATAGTATCCTTTAAGAACTGTATATTTACACTTAAGAAATATTTATCATTAGATCTGGTTTTGGCAGCACGTTTTGTTCATTTCTGTGCATTTTGCTCAAGCACTGATCAAACTTTGTCCATTTTTTTTGCTGCAGAGGGGATCCTGCCAGTCCAAAGTGAACTCCTGATGGACATTGAAGTACTCCTGCAGAGCTTGTATCTTCGACACCATGCGCATTAGAAACTCCACTGAGTTCTTTGCTTCACCAAGGCAGGACCAGTGACTCATTACTGTTGATAGGTCAGGGGCAGGTAATATTTTGTTTCATGTTTATTCATTCCTCCATGGATTACCAGCCATATATATGGACACATGCTGTATTCTCAAGATCTATGCTGTTTTGTAGGAATAGAGAAAATGATATGTTTAGTCTGTTTTCAAATGGTATGTCAAATTTTCTCATTGTTTCAGTAATATTCTCTACCTTGGTTGTATATGAGCATCTTTAGATTTTCTATATTTAGCGGTTGCAAATGTAAAATGTACGGTAAACCATTTATGTTCCTCATATTGTACTGTATTTTTAGCGGTAAAATACCGGCAGCTGTGGTTGCCAGGAATTTACCGTAAAATGTATCTGGTCAAAATAAAATGCTGTAATTTGTTATACAATTTCACTGTGTTTTTTTACTGTCAAAGGTTTTAATAAGGTTTAACATATTTCTGTTATTTTTACAGTTATTTACAATAATAGGGTCTATCCTATTACTGTTAAGTTAACAACAAATTACTGTAAATTTATTATATTATAACTTTTTCTTTACTGCAAATATCCGTAAAAAGCTATGGAAAGTTGCATTTTTTACATTAAATTGCTGTATAATTGACAAATATATTTGTTTTTTTCTATCATGATTTTGGTAAAATAATACGTTGTCTACCTTAAAAATTAGGGTTACAAAACCAATATACCGTATTGTCTTTTACAGATTCCACATTTTTTACACGGTATGTTCCTGGCAACCACAGCTGCCGGTATTTTACCGTAAATTTGACAGTTTTTTTTTTACAGTGTATTTGCCTTTTTCTAAATATTGTCTCCATTTTTATTTTATTTTTTTTATTTTCAGCTCTTTGTTCCTGCCTTTCTCTTTTCTCTGAGCTGAACTGAACATGTCTGTGTTTTGTAGCATCAGCAACAACGCGATGGTTCAAACAAACTACATTTGAAAGGAGTGTGGTGGTGGTGCTCTGTGCGTGTGTGTGTTTGTGTGCTTGTGCATGCCGAGAAACTCATGAAGGCAGTAAAACTGCTGTGGTACAGGATGCTGATGGTTCTGTGTACTGAGACCTTTGAAGCTCAGATAGAAAGAGTTTCCTCCAGCAGTAACAACCACTTCACTTTATTCTTACACATCAAGCACAGAGAACAAGAGGACACACAAACGAGGGTTTCCAAAGCCACAGACTGTTTGGGATCGTGCTGTAAATACATTCACTCATCTTCTTAACACCTCAGCAGCTGTCTCAGCTGTCCTGAGGCAGGCCAGCCTGAACAGGTGATCAACAAACTCAGCCTCCCAGCCTGGGCCGTCTGCGTGTTTAAGCATGTATATTGTGTTTGAGATGTCATCAGGTGCTTCAAACACACTCACATGGAGACTGTAGGTTATATAATAAACAGCCATTAATTAATTTTATGTGGAACAATTGGCCGTGGATCACAGTGAGATCATGGCCCTGAGATAACAGACATGCACAAAACTCAGAATGTGTGTAATTATTAAATCAGTTGTTGTTGCTTAAGCAGAGATAAATCACACGTGTTTGCATAACACTGTTTTTGCTCCACAGTAAAGCTCATGTAGTACTCTCAGCTGTACTATCCACACAATGTTTCACTATTACCGTTGTAAAGACAACAGAGAGGAGTGAAAGGAACATGAACGGTTTATTTCTCCACACTCCTCAGTGTAATTCCAACGGTAGGTGCAATAGACAGGAAGTGTTTAAGTATCCGTGTGGTTTGGTAAAGATTCATACCTCCTCAGTCCAACCCTTCCACCCTGGGGAGTGCAAAGGAGCTTGCACAAGCAAATTTAGCACATGCTATTGACTTAAGAGGACTGCATTTTCCAAGGCAATGCCTCAGAAAAAAGGGAGAGAGAGACAAAGGAGGATTGAAGAGGAGCAAGGGAAAGGAAATCCAATATACAATGATGGAAGAGAGAAATATATGGGGGTATGCTTAGCTGCAGTCACCGCTGTCTGTTCATATGGATAAACAGAGGACGGGCAGACGGATGGATCCTACAGAGGGTTTCAACACAGCACACAGAGGCTTGACCACTGCCAGCTGTTCAGATACTGAGTTACACGTTTCTTTCTCTCAGTTTCTAAGGCAATCATCAGAACACGTCCAATGTACCTGATCCACATCAGCACACACCGAGCATCAGTTTGCATGTGTGCTCGGGTATGTCCAACACACACTGGATAAAATACTTTGGCCCACAGAACATCAAAACAGATGAAGTACAGTACTGATACTGTAATGCTGTATTTTTTGCTTTTTTAAATATTGCTGTGTTACAATGACGAGCTGCTCACTGCGTACGTGTCTATTTCCTGGCAGGAATTGGTACAAAGCTTTGCATAAAGCAGTTGTGGAATCTGCTGCACTCGGTGAAGGATGTGGAGGTTTGTACTGTGACAAAAAGTTTGAACCTGATGACATAAAGACGTGAAAACTAAAAAGTCTGTTGAGCAGAAGATTCACATGCCAAAGAAAACACCAGGAGGGTTGAAGCTCATCGCTGCACTTCAGCAACAATAGTTTCACTTTTTATGACCAACATTTGTGTTTTCCACAGATGAAAAAAGTCTGCGCAGGAAAAACAGCAAAATGATGCGACAAGATCTGCCCATGTGTACCAGAGGCAATGAACACACACACAGACACACACACACACACACCATTAGCTTCTAACAGACTGCTTCCCCGAGGAGTCGTGGCGTTTGTGTAGCCACATGAAACAAAGTGTGTGTGTTTGTCAATCCCAGCTGCTGCGTTCTCTCTGTGCATGCGTGTGTCTGCATGTTTGTGTGTGCGGACAGCAGCCAGGTGGTCTGGGCTGCCCTGTAAAGGTGATGTGTGCTGACTATTTGGAGTCAGGACGTGGCAGGTTAGCTCACTGCAGCATGCTCGTATTTTATGTGGCAGCTCTCTCCAGTCTTATCATATTTTATACGGCCGCAATAACAGACTGTCTAGAGAAAAAGGGACCGCCTGCCACCGCACATGGTGCCAGCAGTAAAACCAGGCAGGCGCATGCTCGCGCAGAGCCATGCAATGTGCTGGCACGTAACACGGCAGCTGACCGATCTGCTGAGTACTTTTACAGTAAACAAACAGAGTGAGGTGCAGAGTAATAACTGAAGCAAAACAGCACGATTAACAGAAACACAGCCATCGGAGGGACAGGCATGGAGCCACGTCAAGGAGTGAGCCAGCACTTACTCACTGCTGCTCTCAAATTCAGGTCTGAGCTGACATCTGTCTCTGTGCTGCTGCCCGCTGAACACACACGGGCGCACACACGGGCGCGCACACGGGCGCGCACACGGGCGCACACACGGGCGCACACACGGGCGCGCACATAGGCACACAGCTTAGCTAACAGTTTTGAGTCCATGTTCATGAGTGCATGCATACCAGAGCAGAAGACATGGAAGTAGTGAAGTGTGCACGGATCATTAAAGTTTTTCCAAAGTGCCAACCTGTGAACATGTTTGTATCAATAAGACACACAGAGCTGGGTCACAGTGCCACTGAAGTAATAATAGAAACAACAGATGCAGAATAATAAAGAAGAAGAGGAGGAGAATGAAGAGAAGCTTGTTTGCTGGTGTTGTGTAATGTCTTACCTGGGGCAGATAGAGAAAGCAGGCGGGCACTGCAGAGAGTGGGCAACATCCCGACCCGGACAGCAGTACACAGCCAGAGTTCGCCATAGAGCACAGCATGTGGAGGCGGGACAGGCTTACTCATGGAGAGTCACTCACACTTCTGTTTACTTCACTCTCACTATCCTCGCTCTCTGCCTTCACTTCCTGTCCCCTCCCTTTGCTCTTTACTTCTTTCAGTGGCAGCGATGAGCAGTCAGAGTTAA